CATCTTTTTTTTTTTTTTTGTCCAAATATGTCTGGTTTTGTGCTGAATAAACGTCATTTGCGAGAAAGTTTACTTTTCCTGGTTGATTTGTTGCTGCTAAGCCTTCATGAATGATGGACAATGAAGGCGCTACCATAGCCAAAGCCTAAATAACCATAATACACGATAGGAAGACCGTTAACATCGACGATAAAACTGAATATCCATGGCGGCTCAATTTATTTATTAGATGATCTAAAAACTTAAGAAATTAAGGCATATCGTTACTTAAACTACGAATAATTATTGCATACAAAAAGTGTAAGAAGAACAATCTTGGTTTTCGCTCGAAAGGAAAGAAGCGATTGTGTTTAAGCATATTTAGTATATTTAGGGAATGTAGTGTGCACAATTTTTAAGTACTTCAGAAGAGATGCCGTTATCTCTTTTTGTTCGTTAAGCTAAAAGAATATATTGACTTATCGCGTGCAATTTGATCACAGTCTAAGCACTAGGCTGTTTTTGTAAGTTTCAAATGCCGTAGCATTTTTCCAATGGACAATTTTCTTAAACAAATAATTTGCCGTAAGTTCGTGCACTGGAATTATTACAGAAAGTTTCTGCCGAATCAAATGATTTGACACATCATTTACTTTCTGATTACGGGTGCGGTGAACAGGTAACAAATAAAGGTAGATTAGAGACGACTACTATACCCGGGTGTCGTCGGAAAGATATTGTTGTTCTACTTTTAAGTAAATTGTATTTATGCGTCTCGCAAGCCATAAAATAGGTATGGTGAACGTCTATATCACAATGAATGGAGCGTTGGCTACCTTAGTGTATTAAGGGATAAATGTTCGCTTACTCATGGTCAGAAAAGGAAACCACGTGCATGTATAGGATGTAAATAACTCAAAGCACTCCAGAAAAATGGCAAATAACTCGTGGTCTCTTACATGAGAATCTGACACTTAACCGTACGATGCCCGATAATACAAGATGTGGAAAAAAAGCACACCCATCGCCCATGCGGTGAATTGTCTCCGAGTGCCACATAAGGACACGTATATGAACACGTATATGAGCACCCAGCGGGAAAGCAGAAAAGGCCATCTTGCGATTTGAACCAACCGCAACCAGTACGAAACACTCACAACGGACTGAACTTGGATTATTGCTTGCAGAGTCCTGACGCCCATGATACCAGAAAAATAAAAATCAGTTTTTTGTTTTCCAGTTAACTTTTAACGCTTAAAAAAGAAACGAAGATCGACGAATCAAGTTATTAGTTATCGTAAATCGTCAAAGGAATCTTAAAGATTTCTTTCACATACACCGAAAACTTTGTAAGTAGTATTTTAGGCACCGTGATAAGACGCCGTTACAGAATACTGTACACTATCGTATATTAGGAAGTCAAGCAGTGTGATCGGTCTGGTGTTATCATATTAAGGGAGCTAAAGTTATGATTTCGACAAAGACACCTCGAGTCAGTGTGAGGTCGAAAATAAAATACACTGCGAGAAGTTTTTGATCAAAAATTCAAACTATATAATCGGCCAAGCACCACACTTACATAATATAACTTCCACCACCTTTTTGCTGCTTGCATAGCTTAAATTATCGTTTCAAGAAAACGATTTCAAGTATTTTGAACGTAAAGAAAGAAAATCCCTTAAAGACCTAAAGGTTTTAGATTAGTTAGCTTACTAAAAATGTGGGAAGATATCGCTCAACATGCACGCATCAGATTAACTGATAGTTTTTAGATATATATAACTTCATCTTTGTGCGACTATTGATTATTCTCTCTTATGTACTTTCCTGAATATTTTATTACCTGGAATCATATGCCGTCATAACATGAGATATCAGAATTTTTTGTTACAAAAATTGCTATAAGCGTTTATTTCGGTTAATATAATTTTTGTTAACTGAATCGATTTAAAAGAAAGAGAAGAACAAGAAATTCATTCTTTTAATCTAGTTTTAGAGCCGTAACAAAAATACCTAGATCGGTGAACATACATTGCTAAAATGCTAGGAAATGATGCTACGATAAGTGCTTATGCTTAAGTGTGTCAAACGTAATGAAAAACTTATTTTATGATCAAGATCGTTGTTAAGTATAAAAAGGAAAAAGAAAACGTCAGTCATTAATTAGCACATTATGGTCAAGGGAAATCACAAGCAACTACATATGTGGAAAAGCACGATAAATAAGAACTGAAAACAAAATCTTACTCGAAAAGTAGATAATCAGGTCAGTTCATTTTTTTTTTTTTTTTGTTTTTTTTTTTTATGTGCAGTCTCTGCTTATCATAGTTTAAATTCATCATTAACAAAACCATTTCATCCTACAAAATTGAAAATTCAGTCATAAAAACCTACTGCAATGGTATAAACGTTTATTCAATTTATTTACTTATTTTCCTTAAATTGCTTTACGTTTTAAATGATTTTTTAACGGCAGCAAAACAAAAATAAAAATACACAAAAGCATAGTTTTAAAAAATATTATTATATGAACTGCAACGAGTAAAAATATTTTAAGTAGTGAAATAACGGAGAATTTTTATAGTAAAGCTTTCGTCTTTTTTTTTTTTTTTTTTTTTTTTTTTCTTTATTGGATTAACAAAAATGTGGTATAGCTTGCGTATACTTTGTGGTTTTTTAACGTATATGATTTTTAAAAATATAACCGACATATTGGCTTATGAGCAATTGTCACAATTAAATGATGGCCCAAAATTGTACAAAGCTTCAAATGTGGATTTAATATTACCCCATAGGTAAGTTTGAGGTTAAATTCATCGAAAATAAAATCGTGAAGCGAACAAGTTCCGAACTTTTTATATCCCGCCATCGAAATATGATATGCATTAGAGTTATTCTTCCTTTCATAACATCCAGCTAATACGCATTAAAACCCCATCAACGTAATATAGTTAGGGGCTTCACAACACCGTCAATTCAATCGTCCCTGTCACTGTCACTCTCGAGAAAATTGATATGAAGATTAAGAAAATACATCCGAACTGTATCGTTCTCACAAAAGGGCCTCTCGAAATGTTCAAGGTCAAGCACGATCATAGCACATCTTTCCTTATGACTTTACAAACAAGAGCTTGCCCTTTCAGAAAAAAAAACTGAATAACGCAAACCAAACATAAAGAGCTTATAACGCAGAGTACGAATATGATTATGCGTACAATTAGACTTGGACTTGATAAACATTTTTAGTTGTCTTATTATGCCTCTAGATAGATGGCAAACAGAAAAACCAAGACAGTGCTTAAGCTTATTCAAATAAATTAAGCTTTCATCAGTACTTGCAGATTCATTGACCGATTTCCGTTTGATTTAAAAGAGATCCAAGCAAGACATTGATTTATCTATTAGTTGTTCTTATTTGCTAAGAGCTTACTATTGCGTTTTTCGACGAATCGCTTATTTGAGAAAAACTGTCAGATCATTCCAAATAAAAAATTCTAAATGATTTTTGTGTACTCACGGGTCGAGCAACCGTCGTTATGGACGCAAGTATAAATTCCCATATGAATATATGTGTGTTATTATTTTTAAATAAAAATCTAGGCAATTTGTTTACCTAACGTACTTCACGATGGGCCGAAATACCTCTTACTGCCTTTGTCGATTATTCCAAGAGTTTCTACTACTAAAACCCATCTCCACTTTCAAAGTAAATGGAATTCTAGAGCTGCCGACGTTTATAATATAATATATTCCTATATCGATCAAAATGAATCAAATTGACTTCAGTGAAATTTGAAATTTGAAGTCAGTGAAATTAAATTCGTTTTTCTGGAATGGACCCAGGCGCAAAAATGAAGTTACATTTTGAAATTTAGCAAATGGCATGAAAGAATTAATATGAGTTTCTCACAAACTCTTCCACAATACGCAAACAGCTAAAGCAGCTTCAAAGTAAGCACAAAATTTTTCTTCCTGTCATCAATGACTTAGGACTGCATGGGGATATATATATATATATATATATATATATGTAACATATGTAAGTTCGATCCAAAAGCGATCCTGATCAATACACTAGCACGACCGGAATTAATGATGACATAGTTGACTTCCAAAATATATCTTCTTTTAAATCTATTCTTATCTGCATTTGCTGATTACGACACCTTTATATCAGGCGCATAGTTTGCAAATTATATTATGCCATATAAACGCGAACTGGTAGCAGACAATAGGAATAGCATTAGTCTTGGTTTACGCAAGGACGTTTTTGAATCTCTGTTCTCCGGAAGTGGATTCCTTGCTGCTGCTGCTGCTGCTGCTGCATTGGCTAAGAAGTTTTCTAGACAGTTCGAGTGAATTGAAAACATACTAGACATAGAACGCTTATATTGTCTGATCTTGTCATCTTCTCTTCGAATTGTCTAAGTTCCTCGCCTGTTGTGGGCATGATTGCCAGTATATTACGTTCATTTTTTAATCCGGATTTGCACCTTATATTTCGATTTTAATTATCTAGTAAGTCTTCAGATCATTTCATTTGTTCGATCAGTGAGTGATCGCTTGTAGAATCACGTGAAATCACATTCTATTAATTAATTGCATAACGAAAATTTTTACGTTTAGAAATTAAATAAAATAATAAGTAGGTCGACCAAGAATGCCAAACAGAAATATGTTCCTTGCCGAAGATTGGATTAGAAGTAGAAATATTAATACACCACTCTTTCCAGTCCAGTAGGAATCGGAATAAATATTATTTTGAAAATAATTCTTATTCTCTTCTTATTGTTAATAATATTGAGCTGTTTTACTAAACAATTGAAATCAAATTTCTTTAAACATTTCCATTTCTGATAATTAGCTTATTGCCTGCAAAGCCTCTGGCAGAGTTTTCAACTTCAACCCAAAGGGAAGAACAGCAGCACTCATCAACAACACATTATTTTCGTAATCAACGAACGAGTCTTGACAATAGCCTAGTAACAACTCCTACGTATGAGATTAATGGTCGAACACAAATGCACAAAGCTGAAATATTCCCAATAGCTAGAAATGCTTCAGTAAATATTGACGATTCTATGACGGCTGCGACGGGTCGAGCGTCTTCTTATCAATCGTCCAATTATCCTTTTAGTCATCTAATAAAACCGTTAATGAAGAATACGGCTCAACGCATAACAACCGTTTCTAAAAACGGCGAGATTGCAGACCGCTTTACACCTTCGGAAGCTGTAGTTTCCCATCAACTTAAAACGAATTCCCAAAATCATGCTTTCTCATACTCAAATCCTTCTCAGTCTACGAACAATTTATATGCATTTCCGCCTGATAATACGAACTACCCAATAGCCCATAAGAGGCCCGATAATTTAAAGAATTCATATTCGCCGCCTCCTTCTGGCCCATTGAACGAAGACAACGACAATGTGGAGATTCATTCTCCTGTTGCAACAAACAATGATTACAAATATCCAGGACCTTTAAATCCAGATCATTTGGCTGCGTTAGCGGATAATGAGCCAGTAATAGAACAGTTAGACGATGATAACAGCAATGAGATGAACTTGCCTGATTCATCAGGTATGTTAGGGGTTTTACCAGCTAGTGCTATGGAAGAGAGTAGTGATAACGGCATGGACGCAATGATGACTGCTGGTAAATTTTTGAAATGAATTTTAATTCTTTTTCACGAACCTATAATATGAACATATTATCCAGTTAATGCCTCTGAAAACGAACAAGAATATCCTACACCACCACCTGGCTGGTTGCAAGAACATCCGGAGGCTGTTAGCAATCCACCGCCCTCACGACCACAGCTTTCGAATTATCTATCTCTACAAAGCCATGATCATCACTTAACACCTTACAATCATCATCACCATCATCATCATCATCAGCCATCGGTTTACTCTCATCATCATCCTGAACTTATTTATGCTGATGATCATTTCAAACATGGTCCTTACAGCCCTCATCTTCATTACTATCCTCATTATCATACAACTACGACCACCCAAGCTCCGCCACCTGAGCCGCCGCCCGAGCCAAGAGTTAAAAAATACAGTTATTTCTATATTGGGCGCAAATTATGGTATATTCCGCTATACTTCACTGTATGGTTTACTTTTTATGTCCTGTGGTTGATATTAAAATCAATTGCCAGACATAAGGTAAGAAATTAAATTTGTTTTTAAACATTTTTATAAAGTGCACTAACGATAAACGTTTCTAGGTCAATTTGCCCAATCACTATGTAAATCGGCGAAGTTTAGAGAATTACGATTTAAGAAAGACACAACAAAATCGAATCGATCAACTAACAACGACAATTTTCAGTAATCTCGACCGTTTTCAAAATAAATATTTGAGATGAAAAATTAATTTCAATGCTATTTATTTAAGGCGTTAAGGCTTCCAGTCTATTTGAATACCGAATCTTTTATGTCCATCGCCGTTACCATATAAAAAATTGAAAAAGCAACGAAAAAGATAAATTTGCATATTATATAACAATGGGTGGGCATGGCTGATTTTTGACAGCCTTATACAACAACTTTATGGAAATTTATATTGTGTGCATGTTGCAGTTTATGAATAAGAAAAGAAACGGACAGCAGAGGTGCTCTTAGTTTTAATTGTATATACATGTGGGTGTTGCAAGCATGTTCTTTGATCTACTTACGCCATTTTCAAACACTTTTGCAAATTTGTAGCGACATTTTCTTTTTCGCGAGCGGCAGAATGTATACCACAGATGCTACACGGTTTGGTAGATGGACGAATGGACGGAATGGAATAACTGATAGACAGATGGACATACTTACGGGCATTGGAAATTTCTAACGGCCCACGTTGATGGATAACGAACAAAAAAACCATTTTTTATTCCTTTTGAAAAGCAAAGGTATTCTCAGTTTACCTTGTACTACAGACGCGTCCTTTAACCGATTCGCACCATTTTCAATACCAAACTTTCAATGTTTCTGTATTTAGCTTCATTTTTGCGGCCAAGAAAATATTTCCAACAGACATTACACAGACGTCCTTAAATCGATTCAGAATTTCATGCTGGAAGAATATACCTCTCATGCTTCGGTAATGAGTGCAAAAATAAGCAAAAAAAAACCCAAATCTATAGAATATCACTAGAGTGGGGCACGTCTGATCTAAGTTGTCCTGAAAGTCTCGACAATGAATGAACGAATTTATCGAATTGATTTAATTTGGACGAATTCTAGACATTTTTGGTCCATCTCTGCCTAGACCAAATTGCAGGATTCGAAAGTCTGCGATATGTGATGCCCGTAAGAGAATACAAATTGCCATATAGTCGGTGTAGCCGGTAATAAGAATCGGATCGTTGAAAGGAAAGTTCAATGCAAAACCGAGAACTCTAGACATAGATAGACATATTTGAGGATATAACTTGTAGAGAGTCTGTTACGGATGTTCCTGATTACAATAGATTATAACATTTTTGTTTAACTTTTTATTCGATTGAAATGAACAATCAATCAATCGAGAAAGTAAACTAATCTTTAACTAAGAAGGGCTTGTGATGTTTGATTCCATTTCTTTACATTACTTGCTACAATCGTATCCAAACAATACATACAATTCTAGATAGTGACTCGTGAACGTTGCATCTCCGCTTCTGTTGAACGCGGCTGACTTATTTTTCATTTATGTTCGAAATTCTGTTAATGCGAGTTCTTCTATCCAAGAAATAGACTCATATGGTTCCCTTTGAAATTTCTATAATGAACGAATTTTCATCAACAATTAGACCTTTTTGGCATTTTACATTTGGTTTACATTTCGTGAGAATCTGTATATCTGCGGTAACATTCGAAGAACAGATCTATGTGGTCTAAATTTGGTAAACTTGATTTCGTTATTACTTTACTATTACGAATGAATTTGCATTTAAAATATTGAAAATAAAATCTGTTTACCATATAAACATTCAGTTTTCTTTGAAACAGTTATAGGGAAAACGAGTTCAAAGGATCGCCCCACGAGGAAAAAATTTTTCATACCAATTCAGAATGTCGTAGTACTATTACTCAGCGAGTTTTATTCGGAAATCTTTTTTATCATATAACGACTTTTCAAGGTAAGAGGAAAAAGTGGATCGAATTATTTTTAATAGGATTCGTCCTTGGATCAAAATATGCCAGTGTACAACATTTCACCAAAATATATCGAAAGTTTCGACCTTTACGTTGAACACAAAAATACATGGAGAATCTTCAGGCGGACAGACGAACAGAGGAATTTGAAAAGACATAACAAAACATCGTAATCCTTGTGCATGTTACATACGTCCGCAGAAATTTAATACACCCTGTAACACAAATGGTGTGCATTATATAAACAGTATTCGTGTTAAATTCGACGAAGCCCTTGACTTAGGGCTGTTAAGGATAAATAGTGCGAAAGTGTCCGCCTGCAAGCTGACGACACATTTGTGTTCTAAAATGAGAGGAAAGGATTTTTTTTGTTAATTACTTGTAAACTTGTAAACAAAAACAGGCGACATCCAGGCAACATTACTGATTATCGAAATTTCATCCATTCGACCTAATATCGTTTTTTATATTCATTTCTATAATGCCAAAAATTTATCTTTGCATATTATATTTGTTATCAATGAAATAAATTTCATTTATCAACAATGAATAAAAATTTGCATTTTCCAAAAAAATCGGCACGAAACGCTCAAGTTTTTATGATAAATAATTAATTTTAAAGCGCATATTTTTTACATTTTTTATGACGTCATAAAAAGTAAAGAGTTATAAGAAATACCATGGAAACTTTTTATATTCGATGGAAAAATGCAGACGGACAGTTCTGTCGAATATTTGTTTTTATACCCTACACTACTTGTAATACAGTTTTTAAGTTTTTCTCAACATATGTAACATCCAAAACAACTTCAGATAGAGCTGACTTTTAACATACAAATCGATTCAGAATCACTTTCAGAATTACTTTCTGAATCGATTCAGAATATGAATATGAATGAATATGAATATATTCGCAATATGACTTCACTTACCCAATCATATTCTGAATCGATCTCAGCTTGTCTGTCTGCCCATGAATTTTCTGTTCTACCTAAAGGTCGCAACCCTTATGATATTTTGAGGAAATTTTGTACACTAAAGTGCTTTAGCCCACTAACTAACACTATTGACAATGATTCGGATTGAGCCAATTTTCCCATATATCCTATAGAAGGCCTTATTTTAAAAATCGAATAACAGTAGGGTGTTGTAAAGTGTTTATCGCGTAGCTTTTGTTTGTTTGAACCTATTTTTAGTTCTTCTATTTCATAACAAAATTGAATTTCAATTTTAAATAAGTATGAAATTTTGCACCTTCAAGACTTGGCTTCGATACAACACGATACATATTCCCTTGATTTGTTTTATAGCTTAGTTTAAATTATTTTATTCTACAATTTTGTTTACTTTAAAAAAACGAGACCGCCTTTATGTATATACATGATGAATCCATTATATTTATTTATTTCAAGAGACAAAGAAGATTCGCTTTGTGACATTTGCGTTGTATCATTAAGGTTTTCTAGTTTAGTGGGCAAACCAAGAGTGAATTGATGGAGAATGACCATTTATGTACACCATTGAATAATGAGAATTTTTTCAATTCATAACAACAATATAAACTAGAAACATAGCGAGCTATCTTTTAGCTTTGCGTAGAGTCTCAGTAACAGAAGTGCATGACGAAGACTTTAAAAAAGTTTAAGAATATATGGGAATCGTGACATGTTGTTCTAGATATAAAGAAAGGAGTAAGAAATCAGTATTACTCCGATGTTCAATGATGGCTATAAGAATATATGAATAATATGTGCAAGCAAAATTTACATACATAATTTACAATCTATCCAAAGAGATAATAAGTAGACGTTATAGCAAGATGAGGAAAAAAGTTGCCGATAACAAACGAAATTCAAATATATTACACAATAGATGTTTTCACGATAATGGTGTTGAAGTTTTGTTGGCCTTCATTTACGAGCACAATAAAATACTTGCGAATGTTTAAATGTGTTTATAAAAGCGCAGTCGTATCCGTTGCTTTGCCCTTTTATAGGATGTTAGCTTCTTAATGCATAAGTATAAAGTAGACACCATTACCGTTAGTGTATTATATAATATCTAAGAGAAAGTAAACTTTCTTTATGCAAAGCTATGATTAATTTCTCGATAAAACTGAAGCTTTTTATTGATTCCTTTGCCGATCTTCATTTATGGTTTAACACAAGAAAAACAAAAACAATTTATTTTGTTGAACGCTCCATACAAGGAATTAGTCGCTGCGTCAAAGGAATTTAATTCAGTCAGGTGATAGCCTTTCCAGGACATTATGAGAAATCCTTCAAGGACTGTCAGCCTAGATGTAACAATGTCAAACTTCTGAGTAAAAATGCATCAGGATTAACTCCTAAAAAAGGCTTCGAAAACATGCAGAGCATTAGATCACGTTTGAGGATATAATATCATACTATTCACCAACAAACATAGAGAAACATAGAGAAAATAATATTGACCCTAGTAAGCGGCTGAACTGTCTTCGAAAGGATTTTCTTTTGTACTGCTAAAGAGTTAACTAAGATTAAGCTAATAAATCCTTCCCTCTTGCAGAAAGTTATATCTCTTAGCGATGAAGGGCCATGCATTTACGCATTTTGTTATCAAAAACTTGGACAAATTTTTGATAAATCAAATTCAAATCCCTCTCTCAATAATTGTAAAGTCTTGATGAACATCATCGAATCGATATCTAAAACTAAGACCGAAATTTCAATCTTTCTTGTCTGAGGATTTTATGACAACAATGGCTATGATACGTATAGTACGAATGGGTCCTAATGGGTTCAACTACTTAGTAGTGAACCATCTATTCGAAATATTATGTGAAGTCAGACGGTTGGAGGCACTCTTCCTCACTTTCATTTTTTTACTGGCCATCGGATATTCTGAATGGTCATAAAGAATTTGTCATTATTGCACACAGCAAATCAGCTCTACTCTTAGCAAGAGACCTAGGTAATCAATATGTATTTGAAATACATAAGATGATATATGAATCGAAGACTTCCAACTAGCATGGATCCCAGGTCACTATGGTTGTTTTTCAAATGCAAAAGTTAATTTATATACGCAACTAACTCAACTTGATTGCAGAATTTTGTCCGTCAAACATACTCCCAATGAAGCCAATGAAGAGTAATTCGAAAACTCATCTTCATCAACAGCTAAACGATGAACTAAAGAAATCGCGCATGCCAAGGATGACCGATTAATTTATAAAATAAAACCTACTTATCAGAGGCGGACTTTTAGTCCTGGAAGATAAAAATACTTTGGAGACGCATAACTGTCCACACTTGTGATAAAGTATTTTTAAAAATGATTCGCGTCGTATCAACTGATATGTGTGATATTTGTAATACAAGAGAATCTGCCAGATGTCACATTCCTGATAACACAACCAGGCGTTTTACCCATTTCAGATTATAGAGCGATCTCTTGAATTTTTTTTAAGCAAAAAGTGAAGATCATCTTGGGGCATTAACTTGCTTTATTAGAAAAACAAATTTGGTTTTTTAACTTATGATAACATTTTTTACTCCTTATCTTTACTTTTAGTTAAATTTATCTCCAAACTAATCTTATTTTAGCCAAAGTTTACAACTTTAATCTTATATCACTATTTACGTCTTTACAATCTCCTAATACATTCGACATACTGGCTTCAACATGTAAATACCGGTATTTTTTTTAATTAAAAAAGTCTGATAATAAAATCAGTATAAACTACAATCTGGATGTATAAGCCATATTTGTGACAATCCATTCAATCTCAACGTCCAAAAAAAAAAAAAATATATTAATGAATTCATTCACTATGTAAAACTGCATAATGTCTATATTTAATATCACATTGTGCCATACTTTGTTGTGCTGCTTTCATACTAGCGAAAGAATACAATTGGACTGGACATCCAGAAATAGACTTGGATTAATATTTTATGATTAGATGTAAGTCTACATTCCCATATGCTTCTTATTACTCAAAGCACATATGCAAGCCAGGTGTAGTCATAACAAAATATGTTGATTTTCCCCATACTGTTTATGTTGTTATCTGGTTCAACGGATTATTGGGTTAAATGATTGCAAGTCCATGGTGAGCAACAACTTGTAGGTACATTCAGCGGTCACTCTCAAATTTCTAAGGACATAGATTAGAAAGCGCACAAAATTTCCATCAAATTCCTATGAAATTGGGAATGCGCAAGGTGAAGAAGCAGTCTCATGTTTTATGAGTCGTACTATGCCGTTCTGCATTAAATTTCATCCAAGCAATAATAAATAGCATTTGTTTTTGACGAATAAGAAAATTGTATGAAATAATTTCAGATTTCATAATTGAGGAACATTTTCCCTCATTATTTTTTTTTTTGCTTTACATTTTACTTAACAAAGTGGGCTAGCAATTATTATGATAGTACAGGAGTACTATTGGGTGTAACAAACAAAAAACGAAAACAAAGCAAAAATTTATTTTCTATGCTAATGATTCCCCAATTAGACTTGGGCGATTTCTTCTTCTTCTTTTTTATAGCATAAATATATTTTATTTATTTTATACAATTTCTTATAAAGACCTTACATAAAAGTTTGATGCCATTGGCCCTAGCAGAGATGAAACAATTCTACGTAAAAAAAGGTCTAGCGACTGATTTAATTTTTTATTGTTTACACAATGCACACGCATCATGTACATTTCTAGCATAATTTCAACTTCTTAGAATGACGCCCAAACAAAGGTTTTTGTATAAAAACTTTATATTAAAGTATAATTTTCCATCACTCAATAGCATAGCATTAATTTACTGTTTACAATATACAATTTAATTCGTTTTAACTTTTATATAAATTTAATGAGCATTGAAACTAAAAACAATACCCAATATTAATTTTGAATTTTATTATAATGTTTCCAGGCAACTTGAACCATAGGCGAAAAATATCCACAAGTATAAAATAATATTATTACAAAAACTAAGAACGGAAAAGATGGTAGCATTCGCTGTGTCGCAAACCCGTTAGCTAACCTTCGCGTTATTACAAATTGTTTAACAAGACCATCAGAAAGCATGGTATGGAAAGCTGAACTGAGCATTAGGACCGTAATAACAAATAAACTTCCAATGACCGGAAATACAAAAAGCATTCATACATATATAAGAAAAGAATTTTAAATCACATCAATAATTTGATAAACAACCGTTTCGCCTTCACCGTCCTCAAAGTTATCGCCATTATCGGTTTCTTCACTTTCTTCAATTGCATCATACATTTCATAATGATCGTAATGTTCAGTGCTTGTCTCATTATCATCAGGGTCATCTTCAATAATCTCAGTTTCATCCGCTTTTGCTTTTTCTTCTGACGATTTAAGCAAAGTACGTAGTCGATTTGATAAGTCTTCACCCTGGCGTTTTGTCTTACGGGGCTGCGCAACCACATTTTTTCTGGAACCCAATAATTTGATATAAGTCTTTTTCATTTCCATTCACCTCGAAAACACAGAAACTTACACAGATTTTAAATCCTCCAATCTAGGTACGGTGACCGGGAGTGACTTTTGCCCCTTTGCCTCCAACTCGGCCAATTCTTTGGGATGAGTTTTTTTCTTATGTGAACGACAATTGGATCCATTGGAAAAAGTTTTGTCACAGAAGTTGCACTTGTACGGTCGCATGCCTGTATGCAAGATCAAATGGTTTTTGAAGGCTTTGGAACGTTTAAACGCTGCATCGCAAAACTCGCATTTATAACGTTTCACATCCGAATGCACAAGACGATGAGCTAAATAAGTACGGCGGGTATTTAATTTAAGACCACAATCTGGACAAATAATTGTTGTATCCGTATGAATGTCCATGTGACACTAAAAATATAGATGAGTTTTAATTTATCCATTAGCTAAATGGACTTATTTACCTTTAATCGTGCCTTATTTTTAAAACGACTCTTGCATACTTCACATTCAAATGGACATTCGTTCGTATGCACCAGTTGATGTTCATTGAGACCCGCTAACGTTTTGCACGCACGGCCACATTGATCGCAAATGTAAGGTTTTAATTGATGATGAATGGCGTTTACGTGCACGCGCATTGCATTCATTTGGGAAAATTTCCGGCCACAATACGGGCAAGGTATGATGAGTTTCTCTTCAGTGGACATATGCTGACGCTTATGTTTCTTTAAATTGCTTTCCGTTTGGCAATCTTTATTGCACACACTGCATACAAAATCTGGTAATTGATCGATTTTTACTTTATGTTTTGTTTCCATGTGTTTACGATAAATATTTGGATTCTTATATTTGCGTTTACAAGCCTCACAAGCGTAGCGATAGGTTGATTGATAGCCTCTGGATGAATTTGTTGGACGACCTCTAGGCCGTTGTTTTAATAACAAACCGAGGTCATCCGGAACTGACTTGTCTGCATTAGATTTACTTTCTTCATCGAAATATATGTACTCCTCTTCTTCTCCTTCTGGATTCTTTGCTTTTTTTTCGTTTGTTAAAATGCCATCATCACTGGTAACTACATGTTGATCTTCGAAAGGTAGCTTAAGTTTTTTATTTTGCTGTTGTCCTATATCATGGTCATTTTTACAATTGAATTCCTTAAGCGAATCATTGTCTTCCTTTTCCTCAACAGCGGGTTGTTCGTCAATATTTTTACGTTTCAATGCTAAACATTTTTTAGTTTCATGGATTTCTTCTTGTTCCGTCTTAAATTCAATCATATCATACTCATAAATTTCCTCTTCTTCACTCTGGTTCTGTTCTTCTACATTGATTTCTTCCTCATTCACCACAAGTTCCGTCACTTGCATGTTTCCACTTTCTTCAACAACGACTTCTTCGCCTTCTTCTTCACCTAATGCCTCTTCAGCATTAATATAATGCAGCTCATCGTCTTCAACTTCATAGTGATTTTTAGATCTACGCTTGTGTACAATATGTTGCCACTTCTCATCAAAAAGACCGCACTTCCGGCGTACTTCTTGGGCTTCAGCTAACGTGACAGATTTTTGAGTATCCAGTTGATAAAACATTGTTTGTACTTTGTTCACATGCTCCGTAAAAGCGACAAGTTCTTCTATCAATGTGTAGCAATCCTGACAAAGGCATGTTGATATATGATCTTCTCTTTTAATCTAGCATCAAAAATATAAAGTCTAGTCATTAATTATAACTTAACGCTACGCATATGTGCTTACATTTACCCAGAAGTACTTTCCTATAATTGTCGCCAGAGTGGTATTTGCTGGTTCATTTTTATTGAACACATTTAAAACCTCCGCATCTTCTTCTTGCTGTTTAGCACATAATCGGCACCAATTCAACCACGAGTTGTTAACATTAGGATTAGAATAGTCGTCAATCACTTGTAGCGGCATTTTTCCTATTTTATGCCTACTCCACACAAAAAAATAAACAATTTTCCTTTTTTTTCCCTTCAATAGTGAAATTACTAAATTATTTGACTAATCTTAAGTCTCGTAGGGTACTGCCAGGTATAACAAATTTTTATCTAGGAACATTTTAAAAGACTAATAAAATTTTAATACTTGGCAAATATTATTATTATTATTATTTTTAATGCTAGTGCTTTTAAGAGTTTAGTCTTAGAATTTATTTCTCTGGCGAAATTAATAATAATAATAATAATTATTATTTTAATTTTAGACTAATGAATTGAATTCTTAAACTAAAAAAAGAGACATTGAGCACTAGCAACACAGGCTATCGGCTCTAATTTAAATAAATGGATATTAGATAATAAGCTTAGTAGTATTAATAAAGTAAAATATTGAATTGATATTCTGTTCTGAAGCTGATTGTAGAATGTTCAAAGGGTTAATCGTTCCAAATGCAATACTTCTAGCCAAGGAAAAGTTGAGGCAGTCGCAGAGAATGTGTTTTATAGTAAGAGTTTGTCCACAACAGCAGATTGGGGGAGAAGACTTCTTCAGCATCCATTGGTGAGTTGCAATTGTATGACCAAGGCGAATTCTCGAAAATGTTTGGATCTTGGTTTTCTCAACATTTGTTGGATATAGAGGTGGAGTTAATTGAGGGTTAATGCAAGAGTAGTGTTGATGATGGTATTGTAAATTTCCTTCTGCAATTTTCTCTTTAACTTTTCTTCCAATGTATCTTTGAAGATCCAACTTTTCCATGACATCATCCATAATTAGAGGAGCAGAAGCAGCATACTTTGCCGCTCGATCAGCCTGCTCATTTCCCAGTAAACCAATGTGACTTGGTACCCATAACATTTTAATTTTTCCGTCGGGTGTAGTAATTATATTCCTTAATTTGTTGATGGTGCTCCATCTCGAAGTCGAAGGGTTCCGGGTAGCTTGTAATACAGACAAACTGTCAGTAACAATGACGGTTTTGAGTTTGTTTTTATGGGCAAGGTTGGCAGCGTGAAGGATAGCTCTGGCTTCGGTTATGTAAGTTAAAGTGCTTTCGTGAAATATGTGGTTGAGAAGAACCCGTCCTGTAGCATCTACCACCGCACAAGCAGGAGGCAGACCAGGAGATTTTGAGCCGTCTGTGTACTTGGCAAATAAATGCCGTACTAAATGGTGTAATAAGAAATCGTTTAAGATGGATAATCATTTCACCGAATACGGACTCAATTAATTGCCTTTATCAAACCAAAGAATCGGATGAAAAAAAAACCAAAACATTTTCTGTCGTACCATGCGGGCAAACGGGCGTAAACTGACATGTTCAACTTTGTTTACACGTGCCTCTTAATAGCTTTACTGGGGGGATTAATGACAAAGAAGGAGAGATGCGCACAAATCCGTCCGGCTTAATAAAGGCCAACGATCAAGTTAAAATAGATCAAAATCAAAAAAATACGTTTAGAGTAATTAAATAAAATAGCTATGGTTTTGATTCAAAACGTCTGTGTTATTTCGTTTTTGGCGTTAATAAGCCGCAATTCCATGTTACTTTATAAAATAAAATAAGAAAATCGATGTAAACATAAGCGAAAACAATGGTTGAAAAAGTAAAATCAAATAAATGGCTATAAATGGCGACAATAGAATGAATGTAAAAGCAAATTAAATTTTTAATTGATTAATATAATGAAGAAAAACGACATTGATGACGAAGGTGACGAAAGGGGAAAGTTCACTGACGTTGTACAACAAACCGAAAGAATGGATTAAATATTTTGACATCTATATTTAATGTTCCAAGTGAATTTGACTTCTTTCAGCTCCTTTTAAAATAATATAAATTAACGTTGACACACATGAGTGCCCAATATGAAAACGAAATGAGAAATAATCGAAAAACAGCTTGTCAAAATCCCATCTTACAAGGAAGCTCACTTAGGATCGTGGTGTCGTACGAGACATTGTGAAAACTAATTCTTTCGATAGATGCTGACGGAAGATAGATTATGTCTGTCGAGGAAACTTACGAAGCACATGACATACTGTGTTACAGCTGCGGATCATTCCGTTAAAGACTATAAAATTGTAAATTAATTAACATTGCAATTTTTCCTATTGCGCTATAAATATTTCCTATTGGCTTAGTCCATCTCTGTTCAACATACCAAAAAAAAAAAAAATAAATAAATATTTCCTAGCACATAAATTCATTTCACTAAAAAATTTTAAAAAAAATTTCAAATGTTGTCAAATTGCAAATAGGTCTTAGGTCCATGAGAAGATTTTTCTTCCATCTCAAAAATGTACGTCACAAATACGTTCTTTTTAGGTTGCTACGGTGACGTACCATTCATATATTTTTTTAAAATTGATAAATTCCCGCACAACGCCCAAACCATATATTAGTTATTTACGTATACAGGCGCTTGTGTACTTCTTGTCATCCTTTAGTACATCATTGTGCAAGGTCAAAATCATAAGTTTGGTAAACCAATTTAATACTGTCTGCTGCGTGGTTCACCGTAACCAAATACACTATGTTTCACGCGGTCTGCGATTCCTTTGTTCCACATAAAAATTCATAATTCATGACAATACCAATTACGGACTGATCAATTATAAAAAAAGGCTCATATCATTTTTCAGAGCTTTGAATAGGTTGCAGCTACGGACAGCATGTCTAAAAAGCCAAAACGATAAAATGCGGAATCATTGCCAAATAATAAGTTGCCAAAGTTGGCAAGTTTCATCATTGCCAACATGATAGAACGCAATTAACGAACTTGAGTATTTTGTTTCTTATCACGAACATCTGAGATTAATACATTTGAAAGGAAAGTCGAGAGGTAGATGGCAACGCTTCAAATGCGACAAAGCTCATTTCGACTATAAATTGCCCGAAAATGAAAAATGGAAGTTTGCGAGAGAAAGTAAAGTTTAAACATATGCAAGTATTGCGGACAGCAGTTTGTGCTTATACAATTGAAATCAACCATGACAAAGGCAGGTCCCGCGAATAACGGCATTGCCCTAAATGTAACAAGACTTTGATGAAAAATTTAACCTTAAAAGACATGTTTTAAGGCACGCAGGTGAAACACCTGATACTAAGTATAAAAAAATCCAATTACTGCACTTTAAAGTAGATAGAATATGTACAGAATGCGCTAACCAACCCAAATTAATCCCTTGTTACCATCGAACACGCATTGACTGTTTTTGAATTATTGAAATAACAGCGATTTTTCAATAATTCGATGCTGATAACAAAACAATGTCAAATTCCAAGGATTTGATGTAGGTTGTTATGCATCTAGAGCTTCCAAATAACTCACGAGGTGGTATTTTTGATTTTTTTGTTTCTTCTTTTTGTTCCCGAAATGTAATTTAATATGAAAGCATTCAATAAATTTTAGCTTGGTAATAATGTCTATTTACATCGTTCTATCAGCTGTATGGTTATTTTTGTAATACAAAAAGTTTTTTCTGGAAAAGTTTTATAAAATTTTAATAATAGTGTAGTAACCTGTAGATAACAAAATGAGTGAATGGCAATTGTGGTGTCGCTTATGTGCTGACCGAAATTCGGACTGTTACACTAATGCTTTCCATGACGAAGCTCTGAAGGCTGTCAATCCAAATATGACTTTAGTCGAAGTCATTGAAAAATGTTTTTCAGTGAAAGTAAATGCAATCGTTAGCCTAAGCGACCGCAATGTAAATTATCTTATATTCTTGTTTAGATAACTCCAGAAGATGATTTCCCGAAGGTGCTATGTTCCCAATGTCTACGTTTAATTAAAGACATTGTTGACTTCAGTGAACGTGTTATCAAAGCGCAGGAAATATACAATGAGTTAATATATAACACAAAGCAAAATAGTCAAATGAATATTGACATGAATGTTGATACACTTGTGACTAAAAAATCTGGTTTAACAACTGGCAAGCAAAGTCCTACATGCAGCAGCATAATAAGTAAGGTATCTTCTGTAAATATTAAAAATGAACCAGAAGAAGAAGAGGAGCAAAGTATTGAAAAGATTGCAGAACTTGAAGCAGATGAACACGTTTATGAACCCAATCCGGACCAAAAAGATGGGTCATGCTGTGATTCGGATCCATTTAGTAGCATAGAAGATAATGGTAATCAAAAGGACGGAGAGAACAGATCGAATATTGATGTCATATTAAATATAGAATGCAATGAATGTGCTAAAGAATTCGAGTCTTTCGATTCTTATCGTGAACATCTGAAATTAATGCATGGAAAAGGAAAGTCGAGAGATAAATGGCAATGCCCCAAATGTGACAAAACTATAACCACAACATTTTTTTTTAAACGTCATCTTATAGATATTCACTTCGGTCAGAAATCCCAAAAAATAAGACAAGAAATGTCACGCGAATTGCTAGATAAAGGACGGGATATTAATTTAGAAATCTCCTGCAATGATTGTGGGCAGCAATTCGAAACATTCCATTCTTACAGAAGGCATTTGAAATCTGTGCACAGCAAAGGTAAAGCGCGCGAAAAATGGGATTGCCCGAAGTGTAATAAAACCGTGACGACAAGTTTTAATTTTAGAAGACATCTTCTGAGTCACGTAGGCCAAAAATCTGATTCTAAGCATAGAGAAAAAATCCAATTACCAGACATTAAAGTAGACATCAGCTGCAGAGAATGTGCGGGTCAATTCAACTCATTCCAATGCTATCGTCAACATTTACGGTTGGCGCATGACAAGGGGAGGGCCCGCGAAAATTGGTGTTGTCCGCTTTGCGACATTACAGTGTCAACTAGCTATAGCTTTAGACGCCACCTGATGACCCACATACCGGACAAAGAAAGAAGAACTCATCCATGCTCATTATGCAGTAAGAGTTTTGTTACGTATTCAGAGTTGCGCATTCATCTCTTCAGACATAAACCGCTGGAAGAACGGAATGTGATACCATGTCCGCATTGCGCCAAACGCTTTTCCACCAATAAGTTGCTACAAACACATATTAAATGCATGCACCTTAACGAGAGACAAAAACGTGTAACGACCAAAAAATATCAAGATGAAAAGCACGTCGTTTGCGAGGAATGCGGCATGTGCTTGCGCAATAAAACCAATTTAAAAATTCATATGCAAAGACATAGTGATAATGCACCGTTCGAATGTGAAATATGCAAGAAGCGTTTTAAAAATCCTAGACGGTTGAAGGTAATGCAATCATCTTATTTAAAATATGCAATTTGCACTTTATTGGTTTTTTCCAGATACATAGTGAAATTCATGATTCACATAAACACGTTTGCACTATTTGTGGCCAGCAATTAAATACTCGTAACACTTTGAAACGACATATGTTAGTGCATAATGGAAAAAAACAACAAAAATGTGATTATTGTGGGCAAGGTTTTAATCATTCTACAAACTTGAAAATACACTTGCTTTCTCATACCGGTCTTAAACCATACGCCTGCAATTTTTGTGATCGAACCTTCACAAATGGAGCCAATTGCCGTCTGCACAAAAAGAAAATGCATCCCGAAGAATTGGCTGCTTTAGAAGCTGCTGGTGGAAGCAAACATATTGTTCAAAAAATACCTACTTTGGAAACCTTAAAGGCTCTGTAAGATTTTTAAAATTTTTTTTTTAAATAATATACCCACTGGTGGAAATACGAATACAAATGTTCGCAGGCGATCCTAAAAATGCTATACGTTGTCGTTAGCTATTTTAGGCTGTTTTTAAAACAAAGTAGCTATAATTATCATTTGCGAAAATCGTATACGCGAAGAAAAATTAAGTACATCGGTGGATATAGAAGGTTCGGCCCTAGTCGAACACAATACTATATGTTTGATTTTATATCGTCTTAATATTATAGTACCAAGGCAGCTAGTAATTTGAAGCCGGTGGCAAAACCAAGGGAGTGAGGGTGTGTTTGTTGCATCGTCATAACCGGAGAGAATTAACTGATATATAATGAATAATATAAAGAATTTATTACCAATTGAATTGACATCAATAATCTTAATGAAATCAAGGATACATCCATTTCCAAATTGTCACGATTTTGCAAGTTTTTTATAATTTTAGGCATTATTTTCATAGGCTGCGTGTCGTTTTTTGAACTTCTAGTAATGATTGATAGTACATAATGTAAAAGACGTTCATTTGAGAGCCCTACAACCATATCATATTTGGTTCCAACGCAATCAACTGTAGAGTTTATAAGAAAAACCTCGACGAGCCCATGGGAATCTACGCAAATGAATAGCCCTTTAGCAGCACTTTAGCATTATTAAGTTCGTTTTAAGTAGGAATTCAATGTTTTGCAGTGAGTTCGACGGCGTAGAGCTTTAAGCAATCTAAAAAGCCTGAATGTTCTTGGGTCTGCTCTTAAACCCATTACAATTTAAACAACTAGAATTTTTATCTTGTTCTTCCCCGGGACTTCTATGAAAGTTTACGAAAAGGCGTAGAGGGCGAAGGACCTCGTCCAGATTTCAGAGAGTATGAATTAATATAATAATAATAAAATAAGAATAATTCGATGCCAATAACAACACAATGATAGCTTCAAAGGATTTGATGTAGGTTGTTATTATACATCTAAAGCGCTTGCAAATAACTCATGAGGTAGTATTTTTGATTTTTTTTGTTTTATTCAAGTGCATTTTCATATGAAAACAATTAATGAATTTCAGGTTGGCAATAATGCCTATTAATATCTACCTTCTATCAGCTGTATGGGTATTTCTATAATACGAAAAGTTGTTTCTGAAAAAATTTGATAAAATTTTAAGAATAATAAAAAAACCTCTATGTAATGGCAAAATGAGTGAATGGCAATTGTGGTGTCGCTTATGTGCTGACCGGAATTCGGAATGTTACACTAGTGCTTTCCATTGCGAAGCTCTGAAGGCTGCCAATCCAAATATGATTTTAGTCCAATTCATTGAAAAATGTTTTTCGGTGAAAGTAAATGCAATCGTTAGCCTAAGCGACCGCAATGTAAATTATCTTATATTCTCATTTAGATAACTCCGGAAGATGATTTGCCCAAAGTAGTATGTTCCGAATGTCTACGCCTCATTAATAGCATTATCCACTTTAGTGAACGTGTTATTAAAGTACAGGAAATGTTCAATCATTTAATATATGACGCTAAACAGAGTCAACTTAATATTGATGTAAATGATGCCAAATTTCAGCCTGAAAAGTCTACTATAACGGCTGGCGAGCAAAGCCCAACATATAGTAGAATATCTGAAGCATCTATACATATTAAAGATGAGCCCGAAGGAGAAGAGGACAAAAACATTGACGAGATTAGAGGGCTAGTGAGAGAAGAACATGTTTATGAACCCAATGCGGACCCAAAAGATAGCTCGTGCTGTGGTTCGGATCTGTTTAGTAGCATGGAAGAGAAAAAATTTAATCACCTTCGTAACCAAAGGGAAGACAAAAACATAGTAATACAAGATGTTATAGCCAGTATAGAATGCAACGAATGTGCTAAAGAATTTGAGTCTTTTGATTCATATGACGAACATCTGAGGCTAATACATAGTAAAAGAAATTCGAAAGGTAAATGGCAATGTTACAAATGTGAAAAAATTGAAACGGAGATATCATTTTTTAAAACTCGTCTTACAGATCTGCATTTCGACGAGAAACCGCACAAAATAAAAAATAGAAGATCACGTGGGTTGCAAGCTAAAGCAGGAGACATTAGCTTAAATATGTCGTGCAATGATTGTGGACAGCAGTTCGAAACATTTCATGCGTATAAAGAGCATTTGAAATCCATGCACGGCAAAGGTAAAGCTCGTGAAAAATGGGATTGCCCCCTGTGCGACGTCATTGTGCAAAACAGTTACAGCTTTAGACGCCATCTCATGAGCCATATATCAGATAAAGAACAAAGAACCCATTCGTGTTCATTGTGCGATAAGAGTTTCGAAACATATTCCGGAATGCGTATTCATCTATCCGCTCATGAACCGCCGGGAGAACGAAATTTGATACCATGCCCACATTGTGACAAATACTTTTCATCAAATGAGTTGCTGCAAGCGCATATCCAGTGCATGCACGTTAACTGGAGACGAAAACGAGTAACGACAAAAAAGTTTCAAGACGAAAAGCATTTTGTCTGTGAAGAATGCGGCTTGTGCTTGCGCAATAAAACCAATTTAAAAATTCATATGCAGAGACATAGTGATAATGCACCGTTCGAATGTGAAATATGCAAGAAGCGCTTTAAGAATTCTAGGCGGTTGAAGGTAATCAATCGTGTACGTGAAGTAGGATATTTTCAATTCATTGGTTTCTTCCAGATACATAGTGAAATTCATGATTCACAAAAACACGTTTGCAACGTTTGTGGTCAAGAATTAAATACCCGCAACACATTGAAACAACATATGCTAGTACATACTGGTAACAAACAACACAAATGTGATTATTGTGGTCAAGGTTTCCATAGTTCATCAACCTTGAAAAGACACTTAATATCCCACACCGGTCTTAAACCATACGCCTGCAATTTTTGTGATCGAACTTTCACAAATCGGACCAATTTTCGTGTACACAAAGAGAAAAAGCATCCTGGGGAATTGGCTGCTTTAGAAGCTGCTGGTGTGGGCAAACATATTGCCCAAAAATTACCAACCTTGGAAACCTTAAAGGCTCTGTAAGATTTTTAAAATTTCGTTGAAAGGTATATCCACTAGTGAAAGTACGAATACGAATGTTGAAAGACCATCCTAAAAATGCTGTAAGTTGTTAGATACTTTTGCTATGTTTTTAAAACAAAAATAGCTATAATTTTCAATTCGAAAAGTTAGATAGTGTGAAAACACACTTATGTCGGGAATCGTATATGCGAAGAAAAGTTAAGTACATCGGTGGATATAGAAGGTTCGGCCCTAGTCGAACACAATACTATAGGTTTTATTTTATATCATCTTAATATTATAGTACCAAGGCAGCTAGTAATTTAAAGCCGGTCGCAAAGCCAAGAGACTGAGTGCGTATGTGTTGCATCATCATTACCGAAGAGAGTTAGCTGATATACAATGAATAATATAAAGAAATTATTACTGAAAGTGAATTGACATTAATAATCTTAATGAAATCAAGGAAATGGATCGAATATTGTCACGATTTTGTAAGTTTTAAACAATCTTAGGCATTATTTTGATGGCCCACCGAGAGGGCGAAGGACCTTATCGAGATTTCGGAGAGTATATATTAACATTACGATAAATAGGCCGAACAGCCCTGATTTCTCGGAGAGAATCTGAAACCAAAAATCAAGGAATCAATAGCCAAACAAAAAATTACATAACACATTTCTTATTATTTTTACGTTTTTATTTTTTTTTTCCAATTATTATTTCTAATTATTATTAAAAAAAAAAGGTGTGAACCTGAAAGAATGCGCATACTTCGTGGGAAACATCAGGTGAGTCTTCTTCTGAGTGATGGTATTGTCTTATTGTTTTGTAATCTAACAACATCACACTCTAAAAATTTTCAAATCTATAACAAATTTTTCACGCAAGTTAATTAATTAAAATGGAACGCAACAAAAAAATCACAATTTATATTACTTTTAAATTAAAGTAGTTTTCTTTTAATTATAATCATATTAATACTTCATTAATTAAAATTTGACAGCCAAAACTCATGTTAATTTATATTGCTTTTAAATTAACGTACTTTTCTTTGATTTTTTTTTTTTTTAATTGAACTTATAAACATGTTTTTTCTCTGAATTCGTAAAGTTCGGTTAAGGATTTGGTGAGATTTCCGGAGGAAGACATTAGGATTGGTTGTAGGAATGGAAAAGGGCAACTCTGTAGGATGTTTTATTTATTTATTTATTTTTTTTTTGTGTAAAATAATTCGACGTTAACATGATGCAGATGTTTTTTTCTAAATTAACGAACTAAACCCGCATTCTTCCGACGAGCCAATGCATAGCTAGTTTTTAAGAACAAAAGAATACACCACTCAACATGAATTGCCATTCAGTATGGTATAAATTTCTTAAATTTTTGAAACAAAAATGAATTTTAAATAGTTAGATGTTGATAATAAAAGAATGTCGATTTCAAACGATTTAATGTAAGTTAGAAAACGATAAAACTTTACGATACAATAAGAACAAAATGGTAATACCAACGAAACACAGCAAAATGCGCAAGAAGTATAATACTAAGCAATAAGTCAAAAATTAGTAGCGGTCCGTTCAAAAATAATTCAATACATTGACACACTACACTCTAAATTAAAATCGCGTTTTTCTGCAATCTTTTTTGTTTTGTGTGAGTTTTAGAACGTAAGAGAAGTAGTATATAAGTCAGATTCATTTTCAATAAAAAATGTTAATAATCTATAACTATTCAATGTTAGTTTGCAATGTTCCACGCCATACTTGATACATCACCAACGGGAACCATAAATGAAGAACAAAATGAAGGCAGTTGTTATGAAAATAAAATCACCACAGCGGAGTATTTGGTGATAAGTATATTTTTATCGAAACTCTTAGTGCAGCGGTAACGCGAACGTCAGCTCTTAAATATGATCAAGGTCTAGAATTGCAAGGTTGCGTAAATGAAAGTAAAAAGCGAAAGCCCGCGTGGACGGATGTGGATGATGAAGAAATACAATTGGATGATATGCGCAAAATTGCCGAATCTACAGATTTATTTAATCATTTGGAAGTGAACAAACCTTATAAGGAATATTTAAACACAATTGGCAGCGGCGCTAGCGTGTTGTTTGCAGGAAAATCGAAACCAGAGCATGTGGTTTTAGAAACAAAAATAAAGTAATTGATGAATTTCTATTGTTTTCCGCGTCAGTGTCCTTTGACAATGTCAACAAACCTTCTATATAAAACGTTATTTTTGGGACTTCGACTTTGCAGACTTTTTGCAAAACCATACGGGAATTGACAAATAATACGGTTTTGCATATATTTATACAAGAACAACAAAAAGAGAAAAAACAGAAAAAGAAATGATGATCGTTTCTTTTAAATTTTAAAGTTACTTATCTAATTTCTATTTATCTTACACTAATGTAAATATTTTTGTATATGTGAATTGCAATTTCGGTTTATATCATTTATTTTGGACATATAAGCCAACAATCTATTGGCTTAGTCCATCTCTGTTCAACATACCAAAAAGAAAAAAAAATATCATTTTGTAAGAGATGAAAAACAAATTAATAATATAGCATACATTTTAAGGTGGAAACATATATATTACATACATAATCAATCTTCCGTATCACTAGTCAGTAAACAAACTTGTTCACTTTTATTTTTTGGTCTTTGTTTATTTTTGGGTCTAAAACGATATGATTTTGTTTACATAGCAGCATGGCTGCCCATTGTGTTTACACCGTGGGTGTTTACGGATGTAATTTTAATATTTATTTTTCTATTCACTTTGTATTTTAAAGTGAAAACATTTTATAAACTTTAGCTTGGCAACAATGTTGACATTTATTTTCTATCAGCTGCATGGTTATTTCTATAATAGGAAAAGTTGTTTCTGGAAAATTTTTATTAAGTTTTGAAAAAGGCTTAATAACCTGTGAATGGCAATTGTGTTGTCGCTTATGTGCAAATCGAAAATCGGACTAATGTCTACCATAAAGCTCTCCACGCTGCCAATTCAGAAATGACTTTGGTCCAAGTCATTGAGAAATACTTTTCGGTGAAAGTAAAATCAATTTTTAGCGTAAGCGACCAAACTGTTAATTATCCTACATTTTCTAGATATCTCCGGAAGATGATTTCTCGAAAGTCTTATGTTACCAATGTCTAAACCTAATTAATAAGTTTGTCGACTTCAGCGAACTTGTTACTAAAGTACAGGATATATTCAATCATTTGATATATAACACTCAGCGACTCGCAAGCAAAGCTCAACACGTAGCAGAACATCTACAACTATAGTAAATATGAGCTTCAAGGGTAAGAAGAGGAAAATATTGAAGGTATTACAAAGCAAGAGGGAGAAGGGTAGGTTTATGAACCTAATGCGGGCCAAAAAGATGGCGCGTGCCTTTAATCGAACCATAGGATAGAAGACAGAAATTTGATTACCTTCGTAGTCCAAAGGAATGCACCTAAAATGCTAAAGAATTTGAGTCTTTTTGATTCTTATCACGAACATCTGAGGCTAATACATGGAAAGAGAAAGTCAAGAGGTAAACGACAATGCAACATTCAATGCAAAACTCAACTACAAAACTAAATTACTATATCTTTTTTGAAAATGGATCTTACAGACCCTCATTTCGACAAAAAAAGACCGGATAATAAAATATGGTGGATCATGCGATTTGCGCAGGGAAGCAGGGCACATTAGCTTAAATAAATATGTCGTGCAATGATTATGAACAGCATTTCGAAACATTTTATGCTTATAAAGAGCATATGAAATCTATAAATGTCAAAGGCAAAGTCGAAAAATGGAAATGTGCTAAATGTAATAAAATTGTGGCGACAAGTTTTAATTTGGAAAGACATCTTCTAAGACACGTATGTAACTATAGGAGAAAAGTGCAATTACCGGACGTTGAAGTAAACATTAGTTGTAGAACGTGTGATGAGCAGTTCAAGTCATTTCATAGCGGGGTAAACATTTTATGTAAATTTGGGAATTTTTTGCTTATTTATTTTTTCTAGGTACATAGTGAGATTCATGATTCACATAAGCATATTTGGAACGTTTCCCGTCAAGAGTTAAATACTCGCACCACCTTGAAAGGGCATAGTGGTAAGTAACAGCACAAATGTGAATTATGACCGGGGTTTTATAATTCATCATCCTTAAAAATACACTTACTACCCCACACCGGTCTTAAAGCCTGAAATTTTTGCGACCGAACTTTCACGAATGTAGCCAATTGCCGTCTGCACAAAAAGAAAATGCATCCCGAAGAATTGGCCGCTTTAGAAGCCAATTGTGGTGATAGACGTCAAGAATTGCCAACTATGGAAATCCTACACGCTCTGTAAGACTTAAAAGTTTATTTATATATGTGTTTATATATATATATTTATATATATATTTATATATATATATTTTTATATATATTTATGTATACCCACCATTGGAAATGCGAATTTTGGAAGGCGGTCACTCAAACATTATATCATTGCCTTGGATTGTTTATAAAAAAATGCTAATTCTCAATCGAAAAACGTGATAACAGCATAATAGGAGAATGCCATCGCATGCAATATATATCTTTTTTCTCTTTATGATCTACAAGTTTTGCGCACTATTTTTGTGGGTATAGAAAGTTCGGCTTAGGTCTAGGACAACACTGCATATGCCACTTTCATATCATGTTAATATTACAGTATTAAAACAGCTAATATTTTACAACCGGTGGCAAAAGAAAAGGGAATGAATATGTGCGATGCATCTGGCAATGCTGAAGAGAGAGTTAATTGATATACAATGAACAATGTACAGAAATTATTGCTGAACATTAATTAACATCTATGTAAGATAGTTTTTATGTTGGTTTTACAATTGTCAATAAATTGAAAACAATTCTAAAAAATTGCAAACAATGTCTATACAAGAATTGAGCTCTGATATGCAGATATGTCCAGCAAATGATTGGTTCATGTGGTGTCGGTTATGTGCGGAAAGTGATACTGGAAATATCAAAGTTAATATATTTGAAGAGCCAAACAATACTGAAGTTGGTTTGGTTAGTGCCATTAACAAATATTTTGGAGTAAAAGTAAGTAAATAGAAACTAATTTCGCTTCTTTGATATGTTATAAATTTCCGTTGTACGTATAGATATCCCAGGAAGATTCATTACCTAAAGTATTATGCACTCATTGCTTTAATGTAGTCACTGCCGTGGTTAATCTGCATGAACGTGTTGTTAAAGTGCAACAGATGTTTAATGCTTTAATCTATGATTCTACGCAAGAGCTCGACGATTTGCAATCAACTGCAGTTTTCATAAATAATGCTTTTCAAAAAGAAGAGGTACAATATTTTCTGGAAGTGAAAAGCGAGTTAACTGAAGAAGATACGATAAGCAGTGAAGTTTCAGAAGCAACTATTGGGCATAACCAGAAATTTAGTGCTATGGCAAATGGAAACGAAGAGGAACTTGTTATGGAAGTAGAGTCACCGAAATTGCTACAAGGCTTTGATGCTGACTATGAACCGGAAGCTACCAGTAGCAATTTGTACGACGTTAGTAAGGAAAATAATAAAAACAGAATGAAAAAAGAAAAGAAAAAAATTAAATATGATACGTACAACGACTTCCAGTTGGATGTCAAATGCCAAGATTGTTCCAAACAACTCAAATCCTTCTTTTCATATCGACAACACATGACATCCATACATGGCAAAGGATACAGCGAGAAGTGGAAATGCCCAGTTTGTAACAAACTTCTAGTAACAAGTTTCAGTCTTAAACGCCACCTTATAAGTCACAACAATGAAAAGAATACCTACAACTAACGATAACAACGAAGGCGTGAATAAAAAGCTGCCAAATCGGAAGTGACGATTTTGTGTAGAGCAGTATTGAGAAACTGTTACACATACGAGATGAAACGGCAGCTCATAACCTTTGTTAGAAGTATGAGTTTGTTGCAGCTGGCATTGCTGCGGAATGTCAAAAATGTTACAATGTATAGTAAACAGACGACGTTAATTAACATTTTCCTTCAGAAATAATTTTTACGCAGAGTTTAAAGATGTTGTCAATAAAAAAAAAATATTTGTATAAAAGCTGAATTTAAAAAGCAAGCATGCTCTACGATTTGATTACGAATGTTAATCACTTTTAATCAGTGACATACAGGGCTATGGTCCGTACATTGACTGTTGAAATATTTTCAAATATTTTCACGTTCAAATTGAATTTATATCCATCTTAAATTAGTTGTGGAACGTCTGCTTAGAAGAGTGGACAACTTATTTGTAGCGCTTATATTTAAAAGCAATTTTTTTTTGTTCAGTTTACTATTTGAGTCAATCCTCCAAGATTCGGAAAATTGACCAAAGATTAAAATCCAATTTTCTCTCAAACCATTTAAAATTTGTCATTTACTTTAACAAATAAATAAAAATCAAACTTGATCTTCTCTACACTTTGCGCAAGAAACCAAGCCTTCCGATTGAACTTGTGAATGCAAGTTTCTTGAATGGTCGAGTGAAACTAAGCACGGAAGAAGAAGAGGAGGTCCTCAAGTCAAAAAGTGACGGAGGTAAGGGAGCGAGCAACGTGCTGCTTGCCCGGCGATAATGTCCTTACTTGCTTTGGTTTTATCTTTATTTTATCTTACTTGTTTTTTATTAACTTTTCATCATAAAATAACATTTTTAGATTTCGTTTTGCAAGAAAATTTATATGAAGATGTGGTAAAAAATGGTCCTATCCCTCTTAAATTCTCCACTCTCAACTGATATGCCAAAATGCCTTTTTCGCTCATTTTGGTCAAGAATAACATGTATAGAGAATATATGGAGAGTAGGTCCAATCCATTTTCAATAGTGATCGCCGTCAGCGAACATACAATTGAGAATGTTTGAATAAATTTCTTTACATGTATTGTGCGCCTATCAAGAATAAGCGTATACAATTATCAAGAATTTTGCATGTATTGTGCGCCTTTCGACAATAAGCGCATAGTCGTTCTCAATAATTCAACAGGTCTTTGTAAAAAAGCCATCGATGCGAGATTTGTATACAAATTCCAACCATCTGAGAAAATACAAAATACTTGCGACAGCAGATCATAAACAAAATATCAATTGGAATTTCTTTACAATTTTCTAAAGCTACAGCAAATGAAGAAGAGCAAAAGCGAGTAAGTCAAGGAAGAAGAATCGGATGTCACACTGTAACAAACGTTTACAAAGCCAAAGCATGTACAATTCCGAAATAGGTCGTTTTACAGTTGATCAGGATAATTAGCGTGTACGTCAAATGCGCGTATATTTACTGAATGGGAGAAACGTGCGACGGCAGATGTAAAATAATTCGAGCATAAGGAGAGCATAAGGCGGTTTTTTAACATTTTTCTCTTTGACTTGTCCGTGATAGTTTTTCTTATTATACCCTATACAATATGTGGTGCAATGGTATATTAAGTTTGTGCAGACGTATGCAGCTGTACTAAGCTAAGTGGTGTAGTGTGTAGTATTTTTAATTGCTTTTCAAATTAATTTACTAAAAATTTCGTTAAATTAGTTTAGTTTATAATTAATGAGAAGCAATTATTTAAGTCGAAGCTGTTTAGGTTCATAAACTCTTGACCAAATATTGTTTTGAAAAAGAGATGGGTGCTATGTATTAACGTTAAACTATGGGAAAAAATTGAATCTTGATTTGTAGAATCAATAGGCGGACATTTTCCATGCAGTTCGAAACGCCAAACAATATGAGGGCAAATGCCCGTGGGGTATAGCAAGCTTCGGCTTAACTTAAAAAGTAACTAATTTAACTAAACCAAGTAAGAAAATTATATTCTGGTGTGACCGAATCCTTCACAATTTTGTAGATTTATCTGCTGCACTTTATAAGTAGTGAGGAAAAAGTCAATTTTTTTTGTTTTTTGAAAAGCAGAGATGTTCCAAGTTTATATGACGCATTGGCGTGTCCTTAGACCGATTTGGTTCATTTCCAATATCAACTCGTCTGCAAGAACTACCAATGTTTCTGCCAAATTCGAAGTCGACAGCTTCACTTTTGCGGTCGGGAGAATGTTTACAAAGGACATTGCCCAGACGGGCAGAGGGACATACTTAATTCGATTCAGAATTTTATGCTGATAAGAATAAACATACTTTGGAGGGTATGTGTAACGTGCTTCTAAGTGTTGCAAACCAAACGAATATACTCCTCATCCTTCGATGATGAGTATGCAAACTGTTCAGAATGTTAATAACAATATTGCTCTTTCGAAAATTGAAATAAAGTATTTACATTCCGACAGTTTATATATGTTCCTTATGTTTCGAGTTCGATTTTCCTTGGACTTCAGAGCACCGAACTGGCATAAGGCTTATATAATCTAATCCTTTTTCTTAAAAAGCATCACTCCCATACTTCACACATTCCAGATTTCTATGCACTAATTAATTAAATTTTATTAATTGTTTTTCTTCTATTCAGCAAATCAACAACCGGAAATTCGTTAAGATATATAAACCTATACTTTATAGGATATATTAATTTTAAACGACTATCGAATGTTGTGCACTGAACTGGCAATGCCGTAAATAATCTCAGCAAACTTTCAATTACCTTTTGACAGTTACTTATGCCTTTAACGTAACTTTATATTTGAAAAGTAGAAAAAAATTTATTTTTAATTACAATTGATTTGCATTAACTCTATAAGCGTAGAATTTCTACATATATTTTATTCAATATTTGCTAAAATCAGAAATACGTATACACATAATTTCTGCGCTAGATTTACAAATAATGTTAACTTTCTTAAAGATTATCCCCTTATAAAATAATACTGCAATAAAATAATAATGCAAACGGACGAAATTTCCAATAGAAAAAAATCTGAGCATGTAAAATGGGATTTATGGTGTCGACTATGTGCAAGCAACGATTTAAGAAACGGAAATATTAATATTTTTCAAAAGGTGAAAGATAAGGAAAATATGACATTGAACGAGGCTATCCACAAATACTTTAGCGTAAACGTAAGTTAAATAAATATATGTATTTATATATTAATGTAAAGCAAATTCAAACACATAGATAAAACCGGAAGATCGTTTACCAAAAGTGTTATGTTGTTATTGCTTCAAATTAATTAGCGCCCTAATCGACTTCAATGAACGCATATTCAAAGTGCAGAAATTATTTTCAACTTTTAATTCGAATTTTAGTCAACCGTTCAGATTACATTTAATACCAGAACGCGAAATTCACGATTTCTGGAAATTGAAATCTATTAATACAGGAATGAAGGAAAATATTGGCAAACGTAAGCTTTCAGTGAAATTTAAAGATGAAATTACCGAAGAAAGTAAATCACAAATGACTAAAAATCTTCGAGAAAAGATACAGAACAAAGAAGGAAAGATAAAAGAATTTAATAATTCCTTTAGTAACATACAAAAATTTTCTGAGAATGATAAGGATGCTTCTCAAAATAGGAGAAAGAAGAAAAAAACTACAGTCAAAAGTAATGAGATTTTCCTTAAAAAGAACTCGCCAAATAAAAAATCCGTTTTAATACAAGAATTTAAAAATAAAATGGAAATGGAAGAACTTATTGATACCATAGGAAATGTGTTTAATGAAAAGGTTGGAAATAAGGACGAGCCACGTCCTAAGCAAGAAAACAATAAAACGAATAGAAATGAGATAAAGCAATTTGGAGAAAAAGGATCGAATGAAACGAAAGAGTCAATTAATACTGTCACAGTAAATATGGCAAAAGATAATAATAATGACCTCCTTCAGGGAAAAAGTAAAACATTACATAAGTCTTCCACAAGGGTACAAGACTTTGAATTAGATATCACTTGTAAAAAGTGTGGCGAACAATATAAATCGTTTTTTCCATATCGGCAGCATTTAAGATCGGCACATTCGGAGGCATGGTGTGGTGGCAAATGGACATGTCCTGATTGCGATGCAACTGTACTGTCGAGTGCTGGATTAGCGCGACATGTTTTGTTGCATAACAATTCCCATCACGAAAACATTTATAAATCTTCCCCGAATTTAGGGGACATTAAAATGAAAATACCGTGCAAAAAATGCGACATACAGTTCAAATCTTTTTTTCCATACCGTCAACATTTAAAAGCTGCGCACAACTTGGGAAAAATTCATGACGAATGGACGTGTCCCTTCTGTGGAAGAATAGTATTTTACATTTCAACTTTTCGATCTCATCTTTTGACTCACATACCAGGAGGAGCTAACAAGTCCCACACATGTTCAGTGTGCACGAAAAGTTTTCGTACGAAAAATGGACTACGAGAGCATATTTTAAGCCATACGCCAATGGAAAAAAGCCATGAGTTGCCATGTCCAGAATGTGATAAGGACTTTTCCTCAAGGACATGCCTAAATGATCACATAAATAATGCACATAAAATAGATGATCAAAGTTTACATGGAGGAAGTGGCGTGCCCTTCACTACAAACAGTTTTTCAAAAAATGACATGTTTATCTACGACGAAAGCGCGCCATTTGAAAGCGGATTATGCAAAAAAAAATTGAGAAACGCTGGCCAACATAAGGTATAAAATGTGTCACCATTATTATTAAAGTAGAATTTTAAAGTAGAAATTTATTTATTTAAGGCACATGAAGAAACGGGCGATTCCCAAAAATTTACTTGTACTCTTTGTGGACTACGATTAAGTGCACTTAACCTTCTAAATCGTCATTTAGCAATGCATAATGACATGAAATACCAATGCGAGCACTGTGAGCGCAGTTTCGGATACATAAGTGCGTTGAAGGTTCATATGTTATCTCACGCTGGTACTAACCGTTATAGCTGTAAATTCTGCGATCGAACTTTTCCTACTTCATTAAGCCGTCATTTACATGGAAGTAAGATGCATCCAAAGGCTGTCATAAAGGATTCTGATGGCTGCTAATAAATTGTCTGAAGAAATCTGCCCCTGAATATTGAAACAATTGTAAGATGAAATAATTTTCAGAATTTTTTAGTATGCAACTTATTGTTCAAGAGGGTTCATCTCACCTGACGGTTCGCATACCTATCGAATTGAAAAAGCGCCCGATAAAAACGAAACACTTCTATTTTCATATATGTTAAAATAAAATAAATTTTATCTGGCAATAATATCAAATATATCTTGTTACTTTTTAATGTAGTAAATACATATACATAAAAATAAGAAGAAGCGAACAAGTGTTATAATTATATAGCAAACCCAAATAAATGATATTTACATTTACCAAATCAGATTTTTCCTTGCGAAAATTGGATAAATAACCATTTTCTATGTCTTTTATAAAGTTTCCTAGAGTCGGTTATCTGAATTCGGTAATTCGAAAACAAATCTCCAGATATAATACAAAAACATGAGTTCATCATTTGATAATAACCTAAGCTCTAGCACCAAGGAGCAGACAATTAAGAACAATTGGCAGTTATGGTGTCGTTTGTGCGCACAAGAGGATATCTCAGAGAAAATTCATTTTTTTCGCAATGACAAAACCGCAGTTAATATCAGGAATATTTCGCTTATTGAAGCTATTGAAAGTTATTTTAACATTACAGTAATTACTATTACATAGCAATCAAAAACAATGTTTATAAATTTTACATTCCTTTAGATAACGGACGAGGATAACTTGCCAAAAACGATGTGTAAAAAGTGTTTCAACTTAATCACAGCTCTAATTAGTTATAGTGAACGCATATCCAAAGCTCAAAAAATGTTTAATAACTTACTTTTAAAAGAGGAGGAGGAGTACTGTGATCTTCAATCCGTACGTTTAAAATTCGGTTTGATGGATGACGAGGTACTATCTCAATTTCCATTAGCCGAAGTTCACTACTTTGAAACAAAGCTTGAAACGACTGAAATTGAGGACAATTCAATTAAAGAGGATGTTTCAGAAATTTCTTCATCACCTATTATAAAAGGCGAACTCAGGAAAGCGAACAATATTGAAATGGATGTGGAAGTGGAAGTATGTCGCGAAGAACCATTATACGACGAAGAAAATGAATGTGAAAGTGCTGATGACGAAGAAGACCCTTTTAGCAGCGTTGGTGAAGACAAGGAATATACTTTAGAAGAAAATATTTTGAATGGGAAAAAGAGAAAAAAGTTGAAAAGAAAAGCTAAACATAGAAAGGATAAGGGCAAGGAACAAGATATCGAAAACATTTTGGAAGATATTAAATTAGACATTACTTGCAAACATTGCGATGAACAGTTTATGTCATTTCAACCTTATCGCCAGCATTTAATAATGCAGCACGATCAATGCACAACTCCAAAAGAATGGATATGTCCGGCATGTGATAAAATACTTACGTCGAGCATTCGCTTAGAGCGTCATCTTAGAGTTCATATACCGCGAGAGGAGCCTGAGGTATTGCCTTGTCCTGAATGCGGCAAGCATTTTCCTACAAATACTCGTCTAAAAGCTCACATTAAATATAAACACAAACCTGAACGTTTTATGTGCGAAGAATGTGGAGCCTGCATAACCACGAAAGCTAACTTGCAATTTCACATGTTAACGCACACGGATAATGCTCCACTAGAATGTGAAGTTTGTAAAAAGAAATTCAAATATGCAAGACGCCTTAAGGTGAATCTAAGAAATTCAGTTTTTTTTTTACTAAACTATAATGAATTATAATGGTAATTTATAACTAACACCTTAATTGTTTGTGTAGATTCACATGGAGACACATGATTCGCAGAAGCACATCTGCAACATATGCGGTCTTCAGTTAAACACACGTATAACGCTAAGAGGACATATGTCAGTGCATAACGATATTATGAAATACAAATGTGAATTTTGTGGTCGCGCTTTTAAGCTATCCAAAACGCTAAAATTCCATTTAATATCACACACTGGCCTCAAGCCATATACCTGCGATTTTTGTGATCGCGCCTTTACGAACGGAGCAAATTGTCGATTGCACAAAAAAAAAGTTCATCCGGAAGAATGGGCCGCTTTAGAAGCGGCAGGACGTACTAAAAATGTCGCACGCACCTTGCCCAATATAGAAACTTTAAAGGCACTGTAAGGAAATGGACATATAATATAATTCTTCTCATAATCTTTATTTTATTTTGCAGTACAAGAGCTGCAGGAAATTTAACGTCAATAGTTAACAAGCAAGGAAACGGTGGTAAAAAGTTTCATAATCAAGATGACATCGTCTTGGCGAACACTTTAAAAATAAGCGAAAGTAAATAAGGCTCTGATAAAAGAAAATATATTTTAAAATCAAATCAATTAAACGTTTCACGAAAAACCCCACGAGATCTATAGTAATACTTTTTTTATAATTCAATTTTAGGGGCATGAAAATTTCAATTTGAAATTGAGAAATTATATTGAAAAGGTCATAGGTGTTGAAATGTACGTTTGTGAAGTAATCTGGACTATTTTTATCAAGTTGAAAGCAATCTATATATTTTTCTATTTTTCTTCTGCGGGCCTTTTTTTCGGGTTTGTGTTCCTTGAATCGAGTTGACCAGCGAAACGCGTATTTGTCTTCAAAAAATAAAAAATAACAATTAAATGTCTGAACTAAAATTTTATGTTGGCAGTTCTATTGAGAAAACTGTTATATACGGTAGAGATAGATTTCTAATGTAAAGCAAAATATCAAATAAAGAGCAGTTTTTAATTTGCATTAACCAAATTATAAAATGCAATCTTCACCTGGTAGTCCACAGTCCGGGAAAAGGGAGGCAAAAACTGGTGAATGGCAGTTATGGTGTAGGATGTGTGCAAAGACCGATATTCGAAATAATACAAATGTGCTTCTTAATGAGGATCCTTTTAGAGGCGGTGCTAATCAAGAAATAACTTTAAAGGAGGCTATTGAACGATTCTTCGCAATCAAGGTAAGTTTTTAGTGACAATTGCGGAACATTTGCTACAACTAGAGTTCTATAATTCGAAAGATTTCAAAGGAAGATTTACTACCAAAAGTATTATGCTCGTACTGCTTCACTTTAATAACAACAGTGACCAAATACAATGATCGGGTATGTCGAGTGCAAAGAATGTTTAATGATTTAATTTCTACGTTTCGAGACACTTATTGCGATTTGGACTCTGTACGTTTAAAATTTGGAATATACGATGAGAGCAACCCATTCAGCTTTTCTGTGCCAGAACTGCAATGCATTGCAGCAAATGAAATTAAAAAACCAGTTGTCAATGATGAACAAGAGGAACTGCTAAGTGATGAAAATTTAGAAATATCATCACGTTTTACGCGAATAAAAGAAGAAGCTATTGGCGACGACGTAAAAAGGAAAAAGTTGGGAGGAGCTCTTTTAATAGAAGAGTGCCGCGAAGTACCCTTTTATGAAGATTCAAATGGCTTTAAAAGTTCTGATGAAAAGGAAGATCCTTTCAGTAGTGCGCAAGAGGAAATGGATTACAACATTGGAGAAGATATTAAAAATATTAAAAAATTAAGGAGCTTTTCCAAACACAAGCGTAAAAGGGAAACAGATGGGGAATGTGATAATCACAATGAAAATACAGAAGTCGGGTATGCAAAAACAAAAAAAAGAAGAAAGAAATCCCAAGGAAAGAGCAAGAGTAATTGTCAAGTCAAAAGACGTGGGATTAAACTAAATATCCCCTGTAAGGAATGCAATCAAATGTTTGATTGTTTCCCTACGTATCGTCAACATTTAAATACAGCTCATGGGCAAGACGACAATTTGAAAGATTGGAAGTGTCCTTTATGCGGCAAGATCTTAACGTCTGCATCACGCCTTGAACAACACGTGAAAAGTCATTTAGAAAACAAGCGCGAGTTTCGAACTAAAACAATAAATGTTAAATTAGATATAACTTGCAGAGAATGTAGTGAAAAGTTCGATTGCTTTGAACAATATCATCAACATTTAAATTTGGCGCATGGCCAACTTGATAATGTGAAAGAGTGGAAATGTCCTTCATGCGAAAAAGTCTTGACCTCCGTGCATCGACTGGAACAACATTTAAGAAGTCATGTGCCGCGAGAACCTAAAATGTTACCATGTTCAAAATGCGGAGCTCATTTTCCAACAAATGGTCGCTTAAATGCGCACATCAAGAACAAGCATAATACCGAACGTTTTATGTGTGAAGAATGCGGCCTGTGTCTAAGCACTAGTTCCAATTTAAAATTTCATATGTTAACGCACACGGATATTGCTCCATTAGAATGTGAAGTGTGTAAAAAACGATTCAAATATGCGCGACGTCTAAAGGTAAATATTTCTCATTTGCTGTTGAAAATCGTCTCTTAACTTCTTATGTGTTTTAAAGATTCATATGGAAACGCATGACTCCCAGAAGCATATTTGCAATATATGTGGTTTACAGTTAAACACTCGAATCACTTTAAGACGGCATATGGTGGTGCACAATGATATAATGAAATATAAATGTGACTTTTGCGGTCGTTCGTTCAGGCAAAAGAAAACCTTAAAGTATCATTTAATATCACACGCAGGCCTCAAGCCGTATACATGCGATTTATGTGATCGTGCCTTTACTAACGGTGCCAATTGCCGTTTACATAAGCAAAAAGTTCATCCTGAGGAGTGGGCTGCTTTAGAAGCGTCGGGCCGTACTAAAAACATAGTTCAACGTTTGCCTAATATTGAAACATTAAAAACATTGTAAGATTTTTTCATTTATTTTTGTAAACTGTTGCAAATTTATTTCTTTATTTACAGAACAAGAGTAGCTGGTAATTTGACATCCTTAAATATTAAACAAGGCGCGAATTTTCGTCTTGATAATAGCTCTAGAAATCCGAACGATATAGTTGAAAAAGAATAAACATAATCTTAGGAAACCAATTACTTTAGTAAAATAAATTTGTTTTTGTATAGAATTGCAAAGTATTACAGTTGAAAATATATTACATTAATATTTTACCTGGCAATACTTTTACACTATTTTCATTAAAATTCTTCAAGTGATTGTCGATTAATTTTATGGAAAAAGAAGAAGCTTCACATCGAATTGGAAAATTATGGTTTTTCTTGAAAAGTTTTATAAATTATGCAAAATGTTCCTTATAAAGGAAAATGTGATGTGATTTGTGAGTAGACTAATCAAGCAGAACTGCGAGTGTGAAAGTGAAGTAGTGAGAAAAAAATCAAGGAACATTGTAAACGTTAAGAGACTGGGCCGGGAGGATCATCCAAAAATGCAATCACATATTGCAAATATAATATCGAAGGATATAAAAGAATCCACCAGAATAAAATGGCAATTATGGTGCCGTTTGTGTGCCAGTAACGATTTCCAAAATAATATTAACATCTTACACGACGATGTAAAATTACTAGGCATTAATAAAGACATGCCGCTCAGGAAGGCTATAGAAAAATATTTCCAAATTCAAGTGAGAGTATTTTAAGGTATTTCTAAAACGTACTTTGTACGTGAATTGTGTTTTTAGGTTCTGCAAGATGATATAATGCCCCGGATGGTATGTTCTGATTGCTTAAGCTTTATTGACTGCCTGGTTTCCTTTAACGAGCGTATACTTAAAGTACAACAGATGTTTACTACTTTAAGCTCCACATCTGAACAAGAACTTGGCGATTTGGAGCAAATACGGTTGAAGTACGTCGTGTTTGATGATAAGGGCGATAAAAATTATTCTCAGCTCTCCTTAGCTGAAGTCCACTATTTCGAAGCAAAGAACGAAATAGATATTGAAAAAAATGTTGTAAATAATGAGACTCCAGAAGGTTATAATTGTCATATGGATCTAAAAAAAGAAATTCACGGAGAAGCCCAAGTTATTAATGAGGAAATTATGGATGTTGAAGAAGAAGGATACCAATGTAGAGAAGAAGCTCTGTATGATGTTATTGAAAAAAATTATCATGGTCATGGCGAAGAGAAAGATCCTTTCAGTAACGTCGAAGAAGACAAGAACGAAGAATCTTCTGCAGGAATAAAGCGAAAAAAGTTAAAGAAGCCGAAGCATAAGAATCATGATGAATTACAAAAAGATATTAAATTAAATGTCGAATGTAGGGATTGCAACACACATTTTCAGTCATTTCGGCTCTACAGTAAACATTTGCGAGAAGTGCACAGGCAAGAAGACGCTTTAAAAGAATGGAAGTGTCCTACTTGCGAAAAAATTGTGAGTACGAGTTATCATTTGGAACGTCATCTTAGAACTCATGTACCGCTGGAAGAGCGAAAAGTTGTATCATGTTCCGAATGTGATAAACGTTTCTTTACTAATACTCAACTAGAAGCTCACATAAAGTATAGACATAAAAATGAAAAACCTTTTATCTGCGAAGAATGCGGTATATGTCTGCGCACAAATGCCAATCTCAGAATACATTTACTAACGCACACCGATATAGCACCGTTTGAATGTGAGGTCTGTAGAAAGAAATTCAAGGATCGTACTAGGTTAAAGGTAATTATATCTTCGGAAATGAAAAATTAATTAGCGTTTTTTCAAAACAAGTCTTTGGATAGACGCATATGGATATACACAGTCCCAACAAGCATGTTTGTGCTATGTGTGGGCTACAATTGAATTCTCGGGCTACGCTAAATCGGCATTTACTGGTGCATTCCGATGAGATGCAACATAAATGTGATTATTGCGGTCGCGCATTTAAAAGAGCTAAAGCTTTGAAAAACCATCTTATACTTCATACGGGGCTTAAACCCTACGCTTGCGATTTTTGTGATCGCACTTTTGCCAATGGTTCCAATTGTCGTTCACATAAAAAGAAAATGCATCCTGAGGAGCTTGCGGCATTGGAAGCGTCCGGTGGAGGAAAATGTTACACCCGAAATATACCCAAACTAGAAACCCTAAAGGCGGTGTAAGCCAAGTAATAATATTTGCAAGAAAATTATATAAATATTCTATAATTTTCAGAACAAAAGGAGCCGATAACCTAACACCGGTAGTTACCAAGCAAAGTGGTTGTTTTGCGTATAGCAAGAAATCTAAGCAAACTAATGCAGACCACTCTGATCGTTTACGCAAACCAAAAATTATTTCAATGCAGTCAACAACGGTAACAGAAGGTGGACCAACTTCCATGAATAGTTCGAATCTTGAAAATTTAAACCTAAGTAATATACCGCAAGTCGGTTCCAACAATACGGACGCGCAAGTTCATGAGACAAATGCAACAGCAACAAATCGCGAGCATATACCAAATTTCGATAAAATTTACCAGCATCTAATGAAACGAACAGTTTCCGGGTCAACGCAATTATCTTTGAATATTAAAAGACCACCTAGTGAAATATCTTTAATAGAAACAGAGTCACACGAAACGCAAACACAGACCCAACATGCGCAACCTGATAGCGCCACATGTTCACTGGGTAGTCATCCCTTTTATGATCAAATGCCCCAACAATTTAATCATAATTAAATATACATTGAATGATTATAGATAAATTCTTTTTTAATATGAACATTAAAAATTATATTGAAATTTATAATTCTAGTAATTGTGTAATTAAAATAAAAAACAAATTATTTTCGGCTTAGACCGAAAGCTTTATTACCTTTCATTTACTAGCTTGTCTTGTTTTTATAGAAAGCCGAAAGCTGTCGTTAATGTGATTTCAGTTAATTACTCCATAATAGCTTATAAATTTATTATTATTACGTTAATAATAATTTTTAAATGTTAAATATAGACCGAAAGTTAGAGGGGATCTGTACACGCACCGATCAGATTTACTTGGAAATGGCACCTAAAAGCGAAAACAATATAATAATTAAGAGACGCCATTGACTACTTTCTCCAAAACGCAACGAATATGTTCCTTACAAAGAGAGTTCTGGCACATGTCTGCATCTATGTCGTCTGCGTCTATGTCGACAATTAGTGGCTATAATCGTTGATTTCATAATCATTTAAATCGTTCGTAGCTCAAAATAAATTCGGTACTTTTCAGTTAGTTGTTGATGCGGCTGTTAATCATTGGAACTCTGTTGTAAAATCTCTCCTTAATCATCTCAGTTAAATAACATCAATTTTGTTGCATTTTATCACCAAACCTATTCTACTACGACCATTATTAAGTTTACATAACAAGAACGTAAGAACATCTAGCGTACTAGTGATTTATATAAACTTTCGCCTAAGTGGTCGAAATCCGTTCATTTTCTTCGCGACATAACATGTTTTACGAAAAATGCACCTCGTCAGCAATGTAGGCTTTGATAAAAGATCAACGCCTGGAGGTATGCAATTTTTGCTATTGTATCCTATATCACATACACGGTACAAGGATATATGTATGCTGAATACAGAAGAACTTGAGAAATACCGATCGATTGGGAATCATTCTCCCATCCGATGTGAACTTGCCTGTCTGTCTGTGTATCTTGTTCTCTTGTGTTCAAAGTACAGGCCGCATTTTTTGAAACATTTTGGACGAAATTTTGCAAATTGACTTGTTCTAGCCCAAAGACGAACACTATTGACAATAGTTCGGATCGGACCGCTTCTCAGCTCGTTATGGGAATAACTATACCGTCGTTATTTGTTTTCCTTAGCAATTGAAAGCATTAGAACCCTGTAGGTATTTCATTCTTCTTGAAAACTAATGTTTTAGCCGGAGTGCAATGAAGCCTTCAAATAATTAGTTTTTTTAATAACACTGTTGATTTATTACAAATCAATAAAAACTGAAAAATATTTTACTTAGAAATTGAGTTTAGAGTTTTTTTTATACCGATCACCGAAGGATGAGGGATATATTCATATTTCAAAACGTTCGCAACGGCCAATAGGAAGCACCAATGGCACGAAATTTTCAATTGATTTAAGCATATCCGTCTGTCCGCCTGTGTAACGTTTGTTGTAAACATTCTCCTGGCTGAAGCTATCGACTTCAAATTACGCAGAAAGATTGGAAGTTTTTGCGCGCAGATTGGTATTGAATTTTGATTTTGAAAATAGAAACAATCAGTCGCGTCCATTCAATATTATAGAATATGAAAATTTATTTTTTTTCTTTTAGTCTTTCTTTTAGATAACACTGATATGAAAGACTCGACGAACGAGTATAATTTTCTTATTTGTTAATTTTGTTAATATGAAAACATCTTCGATTTATAATTGTTTAGTAGCGATTTATTAAATCAATGTTCAGTTGCCTACAGAAATTTTCATTGTGTGTCTGTGTATAATATTTAAATTAATTGCATATGAAGAAAATAAAAAAGAAAGTATCAAATTCTTAAATATTTAATATTTTACATAAAAAAAGGAAAAACAAAAAAAAAGAGACGTAAATAGTCGAATATATTTAAAAAAAAAAAATAAAAAAAGGCGGAAAGGCTTTATCAAGACAAAATTATTAAAATTTATTTTTATCTTACATATACTATTTGATATATAAACGTATACATATATATATATATATATATATTATTTATATATCTATGCATATAAAAAAATTTTAATTAAACATTTTTATTTTAAACCTAATTATAATTATTATTATAATGCGATTGCACTCTACAAAACGTCTTAAACTAAACTTATTTTCATAATTTATAACATTGAATAATTAATTTTATAACAATTTTTATTTTAGAGGCTGGAAATTTTCGGAAAAAGTTTAAAGCCAATTTTATCATTTTAATGATTTATAATAAATCTTCAGTGTATTTGAGTTTCTTTTTCCTCGATTTTTCATCGTTTTTTTGCCGCGTATTACTCTTTTAAAAAAAAAAAGAAGTAAATTTAAATATTTCCAACAAATGGGAAAGAAAAAATAATAATAATAAAATAAAAATAAAATAATTATTACTAATAAATATAATAATATAATATATAGACATATATATATATATATATATATATATATAATATTTGTTAAAATTTAACATATCACAACTTAAAGAAATGCTTATCTAAATCGGGTAAAAGATGTATAGAGTAACAATATATTTATCTAAAACCGATGCAGTTGGGTAGCTTTAATAGCAGAACTACGTAATATTAGGAGCGAAAAAGTACGGATTTGATTTAAGAATAATACGTTTGAAATGTGTTAGCGATCCCTTGTTAAAGCTGTTGTTACTACGCTGTTCACGTCAAATAATGATAGGAGAATTTCACGTAAACGGCGGCGGCAATGTTATGGGATCAAAAGTGCGTGCATAATCGGTAAAATTATCAATTTTACGATAGCCCCATAATTTCATGGCTTCAGTGCACTGATTTTGTATACGCTTTATCTATTAGAATGACAAAGAACAATTATTTCATATTAAAAATCATTTATATACAATTGTATATATCATAATCCATTTTGAATAGATTATCCTATCGTATGACCATAGGATTAGGATAATTATAAAAAACTTGAAACTTTTTTTTTTTACAAAGTTATTTAGGTATTTATAATAACACCTCCAGCTTAGTAGAGGTGACGCTTCTAACTTACTAAAGTTTGGGAAAAGCTGTTTGTTATTAGAGCTATTCGGTCCCTGGATAATCTTTCCTAATCTAATTCTTTATATTCCATTAGTTTATCATTTATTATTGCAAATAATTATAAAAATTATTAGCTTTGTTTTAAAGCGACATTGCTACCAAAAGCTTCCGAAAAAGAACTTTTTTGGTCTAGGAAATCTCCCTGTTGTTTTTATACCCACGACCGTAGCATGAGCAGCCCCCCACATATGTATATATATATATATAAATATATATTCATGATTAGCTCAATTCTAAATCGGTTTAAGCAGGTCCGTCTTTCCGCCTGTGTAATGTCCTGTTGCAAATATTCTCCTGGCCGCGAAAACGGAAACTATCGACTTTAAATTTGGCGTAAACGCTGGAAATTCTTGTACACGCGCTTGTATTGGAAATAGGCCAAATCGGAATGTCAAGCAGATTCCGGAAAACTCTCTTTAACTCGATAGCTCGATTGAAAGACAAGCCAAGTGTTAAGCTTACGGTCCTCATATAGATTCTTGAAAGAGTCTCTTTAAACGATCATATAAGCTATCGAAACGATTTAGTTGTATGAGGGAAAGTCAACATTTTCCGAGGAGAAATAATTCTTTTGTAAAAGTGTTCTCTATAAAATCATTTTTATATGAATTTTTATTCAAAAGTATTAAAATAAAAAAATGAACGAGCAAAAGATTTATATAAAATTTTTCAATATATTCTCGTATTACCTCGTTTTGTTTAAGATCCTGTTTCCAATGGAATGGAGCCGATTTTGAATCGCGATATGTTGAACTGACGCCACCTATATTCACTTTTGTATGGCTATCTAGAAATTCTTCTACCATGGCATCAACGGGCAAACCATAAAATTGTAATACTTCTTGTGCCATCTCGTATGGATTCAGTGATAGATCTTCGTAACGTAAAGTTCTGCAAATCAAAAAAAAAAAAAAAAAAAAAAAAAAAAATGATCAGCGTTTACAAAACATCTTGTCCATCATCCACATCGAACCGTATAATTCTAATTATAATAGGTGTGCAAATAAATTCTCTGTATGTAAATTGATTATTTCATAAAAACAAAAAAAATAAACTGATGCGTTTATTTCTCTCTGACAGCATAAGCTTCAGTTGTTTACAAGCTGTCGCGAAGTGCATATCAAAGCGTAAAGAGACGGACGTCATTGATTGTTTTTCGATTTTTTCTATTTTTGATTGCATTAAACTGGGAAAATATGCAGCTGAAGCTATGGAAATGATTGATTGGCTTAGAGTGAAAATGCCTTAAGTTATGAAAATGGTTTACACATTTGTCCGTCCATTTGCAAGTTGCAAGTTGCACTGGAATTAAGTGTTATTTTCCAGATCGATCCCGTTTCGATTAGGACGATGCACGATCAGATCGATGCAATCATATTTAGCAGGAGTATATAAATAAATTTGAGTTTTATGAAGAAATGCAGAGAATTTATTTGAAAATGCCTAATAAAGACAAACTGTGCGCGATTAAGTTCTTTCACAAAAATCCAAAAATTTCAATAAAACGATTGTGTAATTGTCTGTTCGGTCTTAAGAAAAAGACGAGAAGATTTTGGATTTTTTTTTTTTTTTTTTTTTTTTTTTTTTTTTTTTTTTTTTTTT